CACACACACACACACACACACACACACACACACACACACACACACACACACACACACACACACACACACACACACACATATATATAAAATAAAAAAAAAAATATAAGAAAAAAAATACACACACACACACACACACACACACACACACACACACACACACACACACACACACACACACACACATATATATATATATAGAACATGTTATGATCGTGCTTATGAGTCGGTGCCATTATATATCTGTATGAATTGTAAGCAGAAGGCCGCTATCTAATAATACATTATTACCCTCTGTACATCTCCTCCTCCAGATTGTTTCCGTGTTCAGGATCTGCCTGAATTTCTTGCACACCAGCGCCAGGTTGGGCAGCGCAGTGCCGGGCAGAGAAGAGAAGATCTCCACCAGGAGCTCCGGCGGCAGATCCAGCAGCGACTGCGGGTGCGGCGGCCCTGCAGAGGCCGAGGCCGAGGCCGAGGCCCCAGAGCCGAGTCCGCCGTGTCCGCTAGGCCTGCTGCTATGACAGCTGCTGCTCCGACTGACGCTGCTGCCCTCAGGCTCGTCTTTCGTTTTGCCCACGACCCTCTCCTCTTCCTCCTCGTCGTCCATGTCCATCTCGGAGTCACTGTCCTGATCCGCCTGGCTGTGCCTCTGCCGCCGCCTGCAGCGCCGCGACTGACCCGCTCCACAGAGCCTGGCACACACCGCCATCCGCAGCAGCATTACATCACCACCGCTCACCGCCGCTGTCCCCTGCTGCGCTCCTCCAGAGGCTCCTCTGCTGCGCGCGCGCGTCACGGGCCTAGGCGTCTTCTCGTGACGCCATCACGCAGCACGCTGACGTCACTGGTTACCGACGGTTAGTTTTACATTTGTTTATACATTTAAACGATCATATTTAAGGCTTTAAAATCAACAACAACATAAAAAAAGAAAGAATATTTGACGCCATATTGTTTTTCTAAATACCGCACGGTAGCGACATCTTGCTGTCAAATATGAGTTTATAAACGTAACGTTATAAACACAAAAACAGGTTTTAACAGTCTAGATATCAGTGATATTTAAAATGCTAAACCATATTCATTGTCTTTGTGTCTTATTCGTTCAAAGTAAAATAATAAATTGATAACTGATAAGACTGTGATGAACTGTAATAGATTGTAAAATCCTTTAGGGGCGCTAGTCGGATAAAAAGCCCAATCAAAAAGCGAGCTATGTTTGTAAATGTTTATTTTCGTCTCACTGGACACGTCGCTTGCCAGAAATATTGGTTTCGTATCATTTAAACCGTATGAACGTGATCACAAACGGCTGTGATTGGTCGAAAAGTGACGCTACTGTAAGCGCAAGTCCCTCGAGTCAGTCAGTAAGTCTTAAATAGTTCTTAATGTTGATCACTTTACAACTTCCGTTTCCATAGCAACCAGGAACAAACGGAAGAAGCACCTGTGCTGGGCGACATGGTCACTTTATTCACGTTTTGCGGTCCAATTATATCTATATTTTAAAATAATGGATATTTTGTTCATCTCTGCTGTTCTGTTCATGCTTTTTTGTCCAGGCTGAGGTCGAAGACACTTTGAAGAGAATTCAGGGCATTAATGGTGTTATTGGCACAATCGTCGTTAACGCTGAAGGTAAACTAAATTATTTACCATGGCTTTACTGAAGTAATATTCATTGTAACGTACTATAATATAATATCTCCCGAAACGTTACATTGGATAAACTAATACAATATAATACTTCCTGCGACTCTAGGAATAAACTGGATATGATAATATCATTGTTACTGACTATACACGATAATATAATATGATATAGAAAAGGACGTTACAATAATATAACGTTACAATAATATAATATATTATATTATATTGTGTGTTCATGGTGTGTGTGTGTGTGTGAGAGTGTGTGTGTGTGTGAGTG